TAGAATTTTAAGGTGAGAGTGCCTGAAAACTTATTTCCCCTATGGCACATGCGGTGCACATAAAATCTGATGATTTGGGAAAAATTGTAACTTGATAAGTTGTGACCAACAAGATTGTCAATAAGTTTCTAATCATCCCCAAACCAGGATGGTTAAGGCTACCAAGCCAAATATTTAGTTTATCAAGATCTAGAAAATTATTGTGTACGCAACAATATTGAGTATGACTTGATTCATACATTCAAAATTTATCGAATATCAAGTCCGAGAAATAAGATATTAAACATCGCACTACTTGTAGTGGAACAAGTATAGGCTAATAATATTTTGGTATAATTAAGAGATTACATGAGGTCTCCAATGTTATTGAAAATTTATTATGCAAACATATCATCGTTGCAATGGAATTCACCATCCTTTTATTGCACTAGATTTTTGGTTCTCTCCTTCTGATGAAGATTTGAGAACAATGATTTGCCAGATTGTTTTTTGGTTGTAAGTTTTCAAATTTTAAAATTTATCCCAAATATGTGGTGTGTTTGACTATGTATTTGAGGGTTTGGTAATCATAGGTATAATCTTTGTATAACCACACATTTGACAAACTTGAGAGTTGTCTTTGTGATCGTTTGAAAACGATATGTTCCCTATTAAGAGGTAATTTTGTCTTTGGTTGTCTATTAGCCTCCACTTTACTTCGTATTCCTCATGGTTCTACTTTGTGACCATTGTCTTGCATAGTATTGTCAGTACCAGCAAATATTTCAAATAATGGTATATCACCTGTTGGGTGAATCTGTTGATTTTAAGAAATTCTATGTTTCTTCATCATGTAAAATTTTAGTACCATCATAAGATGATGTAAAGTGTATTAAGGGCATATGAAAATATTTGATCACGAGAACTCAACTTGAAGTTGATTAAGTGACAGAATTGTGAGCTGTGATAGACTTGAGGTCTTGAAAAACGAATGGGTAATCATTCACGATGTGCTCAAGGCATCATGTTTATATTAAGGAAAATATTCAGGGTGAATCTAAATTCATCCATTATGTATTTAGTTTGAGAACTAAGTGAAGTTCGGACACATAAAATGCATATGAGCGTTGCAACTTTAGAGTCACCGCCAAAAACATAGACGTTGCTTGTTTGACATTGGTTAGTCACTATGAAAGTATAACCACAATGTGATGTGGACATTGCAAAAATGTTGATACACTCAATCGTTGTCATAATTATGGGATCCATCTTGATGGATGGACAATACTAAAATTATAAATAGTGACATAGGCTTCACTGCCATGTAATTTACCAATGTAATAGAAGTCAGTCACGATTATATGCATTTATGTAGTTTTTTATGACATATTCAAGCAAAATGAGGCTTGAATAGTTGATATTAGCACACAATACCATTTCGGTATATAGCAAGTGTGCAAGAACTATATTTAGTATGAGAGTAAAATATTTTAGTGAACAACAACAAATGCTTCAGAGGAGCAAATTTTATAAATGTAGCTGATGCTATCGGGGTCTTATGTGTATACCACAAATTATATAGATAACACTTTGAAGATAATCACCAAATGCGGTGTAGATCTCATAGTAATAGGATGCATAATCTGACTTTTGTCAGTAGATGCTCATTGTTTCTATTACCTTGTGTTTACTATAATATCAATATTTGGAAGAGCACTTTGAAGGTAGTCATCTTGTGAAAATGACAAGATGTAGACCTCGCAGTATTGATGAATAATCTGCAAATGGTGCAGTAGATGCCAACAATACCTTGTGATTCACAAATAAAATTTGGGCTAATCACATTAATACTTGGAAGAGCACATTGAAGATAGTCATCATGCCAAAATGACAAGATGTAGATCTCACACTAGTGATGGATAATCTGCAAATTGTGCAGTAGATACCAACAATACTTTGTGATTCACAAATAAAATTAGTCATATTAAGTATGACACTTCGTAAACCGAGTTTTGTATTTACGTTAAGATTTGCAAGAGAGAGAAAAAAAATCAAGTGCAAAACATCGTTGTTGCGCTTAGTATCTTGGGATCCATTCCAGATGGAATGATCGACGCACCCAATAACATAGGTCAATGCCTTGGGACTCAACCAATATGATACTACAAGGTATTAACCAAGATCTAAGATAACAATAAGCCTGATGGCTTGTGTTGAAGTAGTATTAAGCCTGATGACAGGGATGAATTTGCGAGTTCAGGAATCTTGATAGCTCTGAATGCAAATTAGTCAATAGAGATAAGGTTCCTCATCTTCGTGTGTGGTTGTGCATACAAACGAATCAAATCGATTCATTCTACGCAGACCGCCTCCACTGTACCACGCTGGATGATCCAACAGGATGGATGGCGTCGCGTTAGGAGATGGGTTTGTGTGCCGCGCCAGAGGCAGAAGCCACAGGTGGGTTTCGTCGAATGGCCTCTCTATGTCGCGCGCCTGGGGGCTGGGATGGCCGTTCCGCGGGCAGTCAGTCTGACGAGCGGAGCGGCGTTGAGAGGCAGTATCGAGGGCGCCGCCTCGTATACTGCATCGCGAGGACGCACGCCGGGGCCGAGGGCCTGGCGAGCTGTCAACAAGGACGGCGTTGTCGTCAGAGAAATGTAGTCCCTGGTGATGCACAGATGTGCGCGAGGGCCGTCGGCTCTGTCGATCTTGGAGAGGAGGCCTCGCCGTCAAGGGACAGTCCAGGGGCGTTGGTCGCGGGTGCCGTGATGTGCATCTGAGAACGCCATCGGATGATGCACCTTTTCGCCGAGAAGCCGGGCCGCTGGCCGGGTGTCACTGCTGCAAGTAGAAGAAACGCCATCGCGATGTGGATGAAGTACAGTGACAACAGCCGCTTGTTCCTGTGCTTCAATGGAAGAACTTCTTCTCTTCCTTTTGTTTGTAATTCGTGATTGATCAATTCTTCATGAAATTCGCGTGAGTACGTACATACAGGAGAAAAGCAATCCATCATTAGATTATTGGTTGATCACAAGAATACTAGATCAAGTAGGCAAAGATTAAATAGGTAATCTCTGTTATTTTTATTTTCTTGATTAAGGCAGATCGACATGCTCTGTTCTTCCTTCTTTTCTGTTCGTTTCTTTCAGTTGCTCCCACGTATCCTTGTGGGCAGAGCATCTTCGACTAGTGAATCGACGGAGGGCTGAGGCCCTTGTTCTTCCTGTTGTGGCCTATCTCTCTAATGGAGAGCAAAGTGCATGATAATGTGTTTAAAGTAAAAAGTAAAAAACGAGAGAGTTTGAATGAAAGATGATCTATCAGTCTTTATTGATGATAGAAGTGGGGTATTTATACCCAGGCGGAAGTACACATGATGCTTGGTGGTCAAGTAAACACATAGTTACTTGAGAGCCAAGGAATTACATAGTTGACTTGAAAGCCAAGAAAGTACTCCCTCCGTAAACTAATATAAGAGCGTTTAGAATACTAAAGTAGTGATCTAAATGCTATATTAGTTTACAGAGGGAGTACATGGTTGCTTGAGAACCAAGCAACCTATCTAACAATTAACTTAATTCTAATTAGTTTAATTAATAAGCAACTATCTATTCTTAACACGAAGCACAGAATGTTTGGGCAGAGAGCAAGCCGCCACGTCTCACCCACCCTACCCTGCGAGGGGCCAGTCCTACGATCCCTGCCGCCTATGGTACAGTCACAGTCACCCATCGCAGATAAACTTTCCACAACACCCACAGCCCGACCCCGCGCACACCTACGACCCCACTGAAAAGCGGGACCCGCCTCTCGCAGGCCTTTTTACAGACGCGCGGGCCGAGCGTCGCACGGTGACCGAGCATTTTCTCCGAGGGCAGCACAGAACGAACTGTCCGGAACGTCACGGTCGCCGGAGCGCGTGGCTCGAAAGCTACCCGTGGCCGTGGGGAGCGGGCGGGGGCCCACCAGTCAGAGCTCCTCTCTTCCCCGGAATGAGGAGGAGTACCGCCCGCAGAATTACCGAAACGCCCCTGCCGCCGAGGACCGCGAGGCCAAAACCCTGAACCCCGAGAGCGGCAGAGGCAGAGGCAGAGGCAGGGCCCGGGGCAATGCCGTCCATCCGCGCGCTCATGCGCCTCGCCGCCCCCCACCCGCCGCCCGCCGGCGCGGCGGGGGAGAGCCCCCCGCAGCCGCAGCGGCGGCGTTCCGGCTCCCCCCGCCTCTCCTCCCCCTCCTCCTCGTCGGCCTCGGCGCCCGCCAGGCCGTCGGCGGCTGCGGCGCCGCCGCAGGGCCCCGTGTACCCGCTGCGCGACTTCCCGGGGAGCGAGGCGGCCGCGCTGTGCGGCGCGTTCCGGGACAACGCGCCGTGGCTGCTGGCGCGCTGGGCCCCCGTCGCCGCCGCGTCGTCCTCCCCGGGCCCCGCCGCGCGCCGGGCGTTCCTCTCCGACGACCGCACCGGCGCCCTCGTCCCCGTCGTCGCCGTCGAGGTGCCCGCCGCGTCCTCGCCCGCCCCGCTCTGCGGCCTCTGCCGCTGCGCCGGTGAGTGCGCCCCCCGTTTTGTTCTCCTCGCGTGCTTCGTTGCCGGCGTGGCGCCTGCGCCCGTTCGAGGGCGGTTGACGGATTCGCGCGGATTTAGGTTTCGGTCGGTCCCGATAGTTTCTTGATCGCCGCTGATTTGGGCGAATGGATGAGAGCAGAGGGACGATTGAAGTTGGGAACTCTTCCAAATGATTATTTTCCTTCGTGATTTGGGGAAGAACCGCGGTTTTGCGATTAGATAGATGGATTTCCGGCATTACTTTCTTGCAATTTGTTCACTTCCGCGTTACTGCAAGCCTGCAACAGCTCGAAATTGCGACCCAAATTCGGCGAATGGATCATAACAATAACTGCATTTTGCTTCCTGTTCTTGCATTCACAACCATAGATTGTTTTACCCCGATTACACATTGCCTGGATCGGACTTGACGGGCTCCATCCAGCCGGTTCAAATTGTTTGGAATCCGCTTCCTGAAATGGCTATGCAGGTTGCAATGATGGCCTCTAGCCCACCAAAGTTTTACTTCCCATCTAGGAAAAGTGATGGTTTGCGCATTGATGAGTTGGTTTGGTTCCTAGTACTATTTTGCTGAACGAGGACAATTTCCTGTCAGGTTGGAGCCACCACTGGGTGTCAAAACGGAGCTACCATTTCATCATCCCCGCGGACGCAGACTGGGACCAGCATTTCGGCACAGACGCGCTGCTTGGACGCAGCGACCACCTCCTCCATGGCCTCATCCACTGCAATGGCTTTGGCCACCTCGTCGCCCTCCGCGGCCGCGACGGTGGCTCGGCTTTCCTCTCAGGTCATGACATAATGGATATCTGGGATCGCCTCTGCTCTGCTCTCCGTGTCAGGTAACAGATTTTACTTGTACTTCTTTCCTGTTCAGAGACTCCCTGCATATGCACTTATGCTAATAAATACCATCACTGCTCAACTGATTAATATGTATTCTTCAGTTAAAAAAAAGATTAATCTGTATTCTTTGAATGGGCTTCTGAGATGTGCGTACTGTAAGTTTGCAATTTTACATTTAGGGGGTAATGGAGTAAATAATAGAACTTGAAAACCCTTTGCATGTATACAATGATTATGCATACAATGGAGATCGCTGCTTTATTATCTTCTGAGCTTTGAGAGCCTTCTATTTCTATGCAGGGCCGTGTCTCTGGTGGATTTTTCTCGGAAGCACTCTATGGACCTCCGCCTCCTGCTTGGTGTGGCGAATGGTGAGACATGGTTCACCCGCTGGGGATACTGCCTTGGCAGGAGATGCTTCAACATGTCTACCTCCGCCTATGCCACTGCTTTGGAATCTCTGGCTTCACTGCATGTTGACCATCTTCGCAGCCGACATGTCCGTCGTGTGGTCACCATCTACCGGCGCCTATCCAGCAAGCCTCTCATCACTGTCCGCGAGTTCCTCCGCTGCCTCCTTGACTGGAAACACCATGAAGCGCCCCTTTCACCACCTCCTGTGAAGCCATGCTCCCGGCTCCCATTCCTGCTGCCGAGGCCGTGTACGATGAAGAGGAGCCCGCCGTGCAAGCGGTTCGAGGATGTGATTGACCTGCTCCATTGTCGATGGTCCAAGAAGCGTATGCTCAATGCAGCAGAGGTTGTTGTTGAAAAGCTGCTTGAGCATGGAAATGATGCAGAGATGACAAGGCAGGCAGTGCGAGATGCTGCCAGGGTTGAGATCGGTGATACTGGTCTCCTCGACTTTGTCATCAAGTCCCTTGGTGACACCGTTGTTGGCAACCATATCGTGCGCCGTCTTCCCAGCACTGTGACGCGTGTGCTCACGTTCAGCCTTGAGGAATGGGGAGAGCCAGTGCAGATGGATGTTGAGGTACAGAACACCCGTCCTGCAGCACCGTGGCCGAGCACAGTGGATGTCGAGCGGGATCTGCGTGCCGTCTACCGGGCAATGGTGGAGGCGCTAAGTGGGGCAGCACAGGCCGTGCTGGACTGCAAGCACTGGGTGAAGTGCTGGGGCCTTGGGGATGAGTCTGACGATCAGCTAAGGTTCCTCGTTGAGTGGCGACCGCAACCTTGGGAAGCTGCTGAGCTCACACGGCCACTGCCGTCAGGGGAGATTGTCGTGGTGCCAGTCCATACATCGATAGGCGAGCTTATCATCGAGGCAGAGCGTGCGCTGAGGGACACGTACTGCTTCTTTGAGGAGTTCCAGGCTGAGACGCTCGACGGCATTACTGGGGAGAAGTGGGATCCAGTGGTGCTTGGTGGAGCAGAGTCCGGGGACACGATCGGCGTGCATGGCCACGGAGCGGACATGGAGACCGGGCTGCGGTGCGAGGGCGGGCTCGACATGTGGGAAGTGAGGTGTGTGTGCGGTGCGCGGGATGATGACGGCGAGCGCATGGTGGCGTGCGACGCTTGCGATGTATGGCACCACACGCGGTGTGTCGGCCTTGTGGACAGCGACGCGGTGCCGCCATTGTTCCTGTGCATACTCTGCGGCGGCGCGCTCCTAGCAGCCGGCCCGATGCTGGAGGAGGCACTAACGCTAGCCAAGTGACTATTCTTTCTCTTTCAGCTGTTCTTGTCTTCACAATGCTCACTGATGGTAGTCTGACGAGGTAAAACCAGTTATGAAACCTTTTCTCTTGTGTAAAAAGTGCGTTGTTGTGGTATGATTAGTACTTCAACTCAGATGTGGTATGTCAGAAGTTAATGTGTAGACGTAGTAGATGATGATATGAGGGGATCGGTAGACAGTGGATGGGGGAAATCCCATCCTATCCACGTCGGTTGCAGTCCGACTGGAAATTTTGTTAGTGCCTGATACATCACAGAAGATGATATAGCTAGCTAGATGTAAATACATGTTCTGTGATTGTATCTTGTACTGTCTCTGAATCCCTCCCAAGTATTGTATACAGACAAATAAAGTCATATTATGCTGGTGTGCTGTCTGGCTTTGTTGTTTTGTTGACGCTTCCAACGGGCGTTTCCGCTGTTTTGTTGGCTTCATCATGTGTAACAATCTGTTGTGTTGCAGCCAAGGAGTTTTACATGGTCGTCTCTCACTCTTGCAACTTTCTGGTCTACGGTTCTGGATGTAATTTTTATTATTTCTAGTGTCCGTTGTACTATCATGATTGAAGATGAATAGATTGAAAGTTTTTCCGTAAAAAAAATAAAAATGAATGGATGTTACCAAAAGTTTGGCCGCTCGGGAATCTGCTCTGAGCGCGACGCCATTCTGTCTTAGCTTCCCAGCGCGACACGGCCCTCGTTCGTGGTGTAGGGGTCGGCATCTAGAGTGCGAAGTTCGTACTTCCACAAAAAAAAAAGAGTGCGAAGTTCCTGAGGACGGTCAAATGATTCAAAAATAATATTTCCAGGTTATAAAATATTTGGAAAAAAAATCTGTGAAAACATATACTCCCTCCGTCTCAAAATAAGTGTCTTAACTTTATACTAACTCTAGTACAAAGTTGTACTAATGTTGAGACACTTATTTTAGGACGGAGGAAGTACATATTTGTGACGGATTTGTAAAATTTTGTTCAAAAATATTATGATTTGTAAGCTGGATTAAAAAAATCCCGGCCCAACAAAAAAATTGGCCCATTTTCATCTACGTATTGGTTTTTTTTCTATGCCACGTATGAAAGTATATTGTTATGAAAATTTCCTTTATATGTGTATTTATGTATGTACATAAATTTTTGACTTTTTTGTGATGTGAAAATTCCCCCTTCATTGGCCCGGGCCTGGTGGCTTAGACAACCACTTCATCCGAAGGGCATAAGGCATGTTTGCAACTACTCGGCTCTATCAAAAACAGCTTCAATCAAATCCAGTTTGAAGCAGTTTCATAGGGAGTTACGGCTCCACAAAGAGCAGTTTATCATGTTTGGCTTCCAAGTAGGTTCAACTTTAAGAATGGAAAAATTTGATGGACCCCCCAACTCTAGTTTCTAGAGTTTTTGGAGCCCACGTTGAAGAGCTTCACAAGAAATAGAGAGATGTACCCCATATTCTACTTTTTGTGTGGAGAGGCATATTGTGAAGTTACCGACTTTGGTTTATATTTTCTAAAGTAGAGCTGAATTTTAAGGAGTGGAGTGGTCCCAAAAAAAACCTAAGTATCATTTCATAACTAACCTAGGCCGGGGTAACTAAACAACTAACTAACGAACTAACCATTGTATAATATTTTTTTAAACAAATTCATGAACATTTTTCGAGACACATGATTTTTTTAAATGTCACATATATATTTTTGAATGGTACGAACCAATTTTTAAAAATTACACAAACATCTGTTTTACATTGAATAAACATTCTGTAAAATCCCTGGAACATATTTTGTGAAATGCGTGAGTATTTTTTAAATGTCAAGAAATGTTTTTTGAATGGTACAAAATATTTTTAAAATGGTACCCAAATTTATTTTACATTGTAAAAACATTTTAAAAAATTGACACGAACAAATTTTAACGCATCCACATTTTAAAAAAGTGTCATGATCATATTTTTTTTGAAGGGTATGAAACATTCTTTAAAACTAGTAGAATAATTCTTTACATCATCGCCAACGTCTCCTGATAATGTCTGATGACTTCCTGGCCCCATAATGACTCCATACTCTAGTAACTTCTACAAATAAAGTAGAAACATAGACGTAGTTCATATATACGTACATACATTCATCCTTATGTATGTATGCATGCACACCCTATCTTACGAGTACCTCTGAAAGTCTGGGCCGACAGATCTTGCGAATGATGATGTCAGCATTGATGCCTTGCTATCGACAGGAATGCCGCCTCCCACTGGAAGAATACTTCATTATGAGATATGCATGTGATAAATCTGCGGTTTGATGATCGTGGGCTGGGGATACAACCACCAACTAATCTTTTATAAATATTGGCCGACTCGGGGGTCGTTGGATCCACCGCCCAATAGTCATCCGATCCGTGCCTGCTAGTTTGACGGGTGTTTGCAACATGAGCATGTGCTCGGAGATTTGCAAAACAAGTGCTTTGCAACATTACCACATTGTGCTCGGAGGTTTGCAACCAGGCCTTTGCAATAAGAGTCATGTTGCCTCCCAAAACATACTCATCGCTGCCGCCCCGAGCTGCCCCCAGTTGTACTAGACCTTTTACAACACGAGCGATGTTGGCACCGCAACATACCTGCCGTTGCAAACACTCGTCACTAAACCAACTTCGTCGCTGATGTGGTGATGTTGTTGCGCAATACCGTTGCCCCCCAAACAGTTTCACTGGCAGTGTTGCACCACTGCATGCAACACCATCCGACGCGTCCACGTGCATGACACCGATGATCGTCCCTTAGCATGCGAGAAGGAAGGAAGAGAAAAAAATAGGTTTGTGGTCGGATCTGAGATAGAGTTGGCGTGTCCGAGCTCCACAAACCTTCCCTACGTTAGGTTCTGGTTTGTGATAAAGAACACTTTGTGAGAGGTGGCCGCAGAGGTGACTAGGAAACCCTAGCCGCCATCGTCTTCTCTTCCTCTCGCCGCTGCCTGGGCATGACATAGGGCAAAGCCTACGCGCCGCCACCACGCCGTTGGTGGCAGCTGGGAGATTCTGTTCGGAGACAACCCATTGTGGGGGATTGAGGGTTCATGTGAGACGACGAAGGAGATCCGTGTGCAAGTGATTTGCATGAGACAATTCTCGACGGCAACGCTGCTAAAATCGGCCTTGATCGGCGAGATCCAACCCGACGATCTTCAACGGCGGCCCAGCTTGGCTAGTTCATCAGAGAAGAGGGCGTTGGCGCATGGGTTCGGATGCCGGCGAGCTCGACATCATACTCGGACATGTCGTGCAACGACATGGGTGCTTTTTTAGGTTTTCTTTAGGGGTGGCGAGGCGATGATGCTTTCCCAGTGTAGGAATAATGTTCTCACTGCCTTCTCTCCATTAAGTTGGTATGCTTATCGCCGGCGAAGGGCGTGCGGAGCCGTATCTCCGGTAGGTCTTCTCGGATCCGGCCGGTTTTCGTTTTCGGTGGAGCCGCCTAGATTCAGCCGGCTTTCGTGGCCTTCGGAATTTCTACAGGCCCTTATAGTCGTTTTCTTCTCCGGGGCAACGATTTGCTTCGCAGATTGCGCCCGTCGGCGTCTCTTACTCTGCATTGACGACTTCTCATCTGCTGCCTCCACAAGCTCCTAGGTTTATAAAATGTTTGCTCCACCGTGGCGGAGGCCCAGAGGCGACATCAAGCTATACTAATGGTGTGCGCCAGTGGATGCAGAAGGAAGAAGACTTCAACACTTTCCAAGAATTTAATTATAATTTTATCTTTGTATATGGATGTGTTTGTAAGAACCTGTGATACTTAATTATGGTCTTAGGCATTTTTGCAAAAGAAGGTTTTGGCTTATGGGCGTCCGGACCACTGCGGGATGACTTCGTTGGATGGCAAAACATGTGCGTAGCTGGTCCGAACATTTATAGATGATTTGATGACTCCCGTTGGAGTTGCCCAAGTATTTTTTTTCATGGTGATAGATGTCTCAACAAAACTGAAAAAAGTAAAAAAATTAGCCTTTGCACAAAAAAACATCAACCAAGAGAAAACGTTAGAATTAAGGCCGAAAAAAACTCTGAGCTTGACACAAATGCTCGTCACATGCTTCTCGCACCAACATAACAGCCATCAAAGGACAAAATGGCCGATCACCTCCTCCTCGAGCTCTACGTGGCTCCATTGATGATATGCAACTTTGCGGGCCTCAAGGTGGTTGATCAAAGGGATAACACCCCAGACACACCATCAAACTCCAGATCTGGCACCCCGCACGACTAAAAAGTAGACGAAGGAAACCATACCTACCATCCACGAACCATGAACCTAGCACACGATCTGCCATCTTCCAGATGCCGCCAACGTAGATCACAATTTGCATTCCCTTCTGGACTACCTCCAAAGCTCCACATCGACGCTGGAGCAAACACCGTCGCAACGGCGGAGCCCGATAGGGATGGCACCCACAGGGTATGTGTACGGGTAGAGCCACCCCATATCCTTACCTGTCTATCCTGAGCTTACCCATTACCCTTACCCATACCCGCTAGCGGGTAAATTTTTTTCCATACCCGCTACCCGACAGGGTAGAAGGGTACCCGTGGATAAAATTACCCATATTTGTAAGACATCAGTTTAACAACTTATAGTCATAAACAGGAACATATAAGCATAATTACAACAATAGATTATAACAGCACATTCTTACAAACAACAACACATCATAAACAACAAGACATTTAATAAACAACATCACTCTTTCGCGTAAATAACAATACATCAAAACAACATCACATAGTCATACATTTTGAGTTCATAAATTCATGACAAAGTGTAGGCTGTACAATTGAGTTCACGTAGATTTATATGGGTACATGGATATGCGGGTATGGATTATATGATCCCACATCATACCCGCTCTATCCGATGGGCTTCAAATTTCCATATTTATATACCTATGGGTAACTTTTAGTTTCACACCCTTATCCTAATAGGGTTTTT